ATACACAGACATAACAAAACACAATATATCAGAAACTGTTCCTGACTGCAAGTTTTAATGCTCAAATAACTGTTATAAAATGAATGTAACATATGGTTTATAAAGAGTTGTGGCTACCAATAAGGAAAAGAATTTAGGAATAACATTGTTCAATAGAGTATGTTTACAGTCAACCCACAAAACTTTTACAGCACACTGCAGTTTTACAAATACACAGCACAGATATTGAACAGGAGAGTTGATCTGAGTAGGTTCTTTTTGGAATATGCCAAACATCAGAAAATTTATAATGTACTTAAAGGGAGCACACTGCATTCACTGTAGGGCTGAAACATTTAAAAGGTTCTCTATGATTTTTTCCAGGAGATAAATCTTGCAAAGACCCAAAGATTTATCAGACTAGGCTACGTTGGTCCAGCATATGCTGATAAAAGCACAGTTGTTAGAGATAAGTACAGGAATTTCTACATCTTGTGTTCTTCAGATTCCCACTGTTGCCTGTTTTTCAAAATTTTCATTTACTCTTTTTATTATACCCATTTTTTTTCAGGTTCTCGTTTCTGTTCTATAACGGTAATACTGTTATTGCTCTACCATTTTCATATGTTGTGTTAGTTAATTTCTCTGCCTTTTCAATTTTTTTCTTTCTTCTTTTTATATTAATTTTTACCTGTCCTGTGTTTTCTGTTAAACTAATTTATTATATAGTTACGCAGTTAGCACCATCTCAGAAAATATAAGCATATACTGAAGTATGTATTTAAATATTCTCTGAGGACAGGAACTAATTTCCAATTTATTGATCAATGAGTGATAAACTCAATAAAGGTTTGGGCAGAAATCAGAAGCAAGTCAAAATTCTGACTTAGGGAAAACAAACCCACAAACCACAAGGTATCCTTGGAGGAAGCTTCTTGGAAGTTCTCTAAACACTAGAGATTTGCTTCTTCACGTGTCCGGAACAACTAAAGGGCAAGGTCCAGTAGAAGAGTATCTGCATCTGTAATTGCATACATGACCCAAATGTAGGGTTTCAGTCCTACAAGATACGATTTGATAGTGGTACAGTCCCAGTGTTCACACATATTCCTGAAGAAAAAGTTTCCAAAGGACACTGAAGAAGAAGGGATGAGAGGTGGAAGTGGCGTAGAAAGGGAAGTGAATATGTAAAGGGCTGCCACACTTCAGTAAACTCCAGTTAGTGATAAGTAACTTTTCTATTTTAGACGGTTTTCATACATGAATATTCACTGCAGGTTCCTTCAAGCAGAAGTTTCCCAACCAGTCAGTTACCTGAATATGGGTTTTTTTTTTTGCAAGCAGTGACTTCAGGAGACCTCAGTAAACATGGCATTCTTTAAGGATGCCCATGTGGCTGTTTAATGTTTGGTCATAAATATAGTTTCAAGTATTCACTTTGCAAACACCAGGGATGGAGACATTTCTTGGCAGACTGTGGATACAGTGAGTTCTAGTGAAGCACATCCTAATGATGGAACACAGTTCTTATAACATATTTTATTAAACTGATTAGTGAGGTATGAGATCCCTGTGCAGATTATGGCTAGGATTTTGTAGGTTTTACTTTCAACACAGTCTTGGGTTTATCTTAAAAGTTTTGGGACAGTGAAGAAACACAGAGAAGCTCTTCCTTCCTTTTCCCTTAAATCCAGTGTTACAGATGGCTGGCAGCCAAGATGCTGTGGTCCTAAGTACAGGAGATTTAGGGAAGGAAATAGGTAAATTAATTTCTGAGTTAAACTAATCCCAGAAAACACTTTGAGAGGAAACTTGAAATGGATTTGTAAAGACAATTTTTTAGCAAGAATGTTTTGTATTAAGAATCAGCCTTGATGCCTTGGCAGATACTCTTGCAGAACGGGAGACCTGGTTAAAAGTAGGCGTAGCAGCAAAAAAGTCACCACAGACTTGAACTGTGGTCCTACAAAAATAACAAACACCCAATTCAATTCCTATAGTGGAACAGGGTATGTCATTACTGAGAACAACTTGTCCAGCTCCTTAAGCAATTTAAAGACAGTTAGCTGTGAACACCTGAAAAGTCTTCCTATTGTCTCCTCGTAGGCAGGTATGCCAGCTGAAGCTGTACATATGTTCGTGTTTTTCTGTGGGCTGTGGCTTCTCTGCAGATGCCCAATACAGCACCTGGTGGTTAATGACTAGGAAAAAACCGGGGTACTTTTGTAGATAAGTCAGGGTACAGGAAGGATGACGTGAACTGAGCTGAACTGAACTGAAAAGCTCTCCTTAGTACCATACCACAAATTTAGGCTGTGTGAGGCTTAGGTGCACTAAAGGAGCGGGCAGACGTTTCGTGCTAACAAATACTCCAAAACGACCAGGCTGGATGCCCAGGGGGTGTGTGTGAAACAAACTTACTGACTGCAGTTTGAGACCCTATTCCATTTCACCTTCCTGCAACTGAGGAGAAGGTGTACCAGAGGGTCAACTCTGCCCTATGTAAGTGTACTGTATAAGTGGGCCAACTCTAATTGACCAAATCTCTTCCACCAATCCTGCTGTGAAATGTTGCAGGCAGTTGTAGAAACGACACAGGATTGGCTGTTAAAGATCGTTTTGGGTTTTGGATTCATCACAAAATAGTTCTAATACACTAGCCATGCTAAGTTAAGAATGGTCACGGAAACTAATGTGTGCCTAACTTCTAGAAGGGGAAGGAAAGCATATGCCAGCCTTTCTGGTTGCTGAATGAGCACTGTCCCCAGCAGGACAGAACTGGGGCCCAAACAATGATCTGAGAGTACCTGATGGTATGGCAGTCAAAAATTCTGTTTCATGATATTCCCAGTCCCAGGTGATTGAAATACATTGGGAATATCTGATCTGTCATGAATCATCCAACATAATCAAGTAACTGAGACTATTCCATGACAATATTTAATATGGTCAGAAAATAAATCTAACACTTGATACAGCAACTCTGGAGTCAACTGAACTGTGTCCATGATAATTTATATATGCTATAAATGCCTGAGACAAAAAAACTCTCAATATGCTGCACAACAACCTGATCACCTGGAGCCTGGCTTATTTTTGTTCGTTTCAAGTCCAGCAGCCCTGCTATGTTAGCATCTGCCAGCCAAAAGTACAGAAGTAATGTGTCTGTCCCAACTGGTCTGGGCAGAGTGAAGGATAAAGTGACGTCCCGTTGTACATCTTGTGTTCTTCCTTTGGAACATTGAATTTTGGAAACCTCAAGTAGTCACTGAAAAGCTAAAAGGATGACTGCTTAAGTAGCTCACAACCTGCAGACAAACCTATACTTCTTGCAATACAGTATGGCATGAGAATTTATGCAGGTGCATGTCAGTCAAGATCTCCCTGTGGTGGAGGGGTAAGAGTCCAATTATATGATGAGATTCTGTGTAATCAAATATTATTTCTGCTGAACAAATGCTAAAGTAGTAATGAAGTCCTAATGTCACCCTTGAGACTCTTAAGGATTCAATGGCCATGAGATGCAATTTGTATCACTCTAACCTTAACCATATGGAATGAAAGAATAAGAAATAATGTTTAGGGAATCAAGTCTCCTCTTCTGACAGTCTCTTTATCAGTATAGGGAAGTGGTATTTTGCTGGAGGCGAACCAATACTTGTGCTAGAACTTCTGTGAAGATACTTCATGCTGTGAAATGGACTGACCCGATGATGGTTGTCAGCCTGTGCCAGTGTTAGACAAAGACATTTTTTTATTGAGACAGCTTCATAGACAGCAGGTGCAGTGAAGGGCAATAAACCTGTTCAAGCGAAATAAATGTTGGTAAAATTCCAGCAAGGAAATGGTATTTTCCCTGTCTACGGCACTGCGTACCACGTATATGGCATGTGTGTGTGTGCAGTAAAGGGAGCTTATATCCCATACCCTGAAGTCACGATGACAGAACTCTGATGAACTGAGAGGTTCATCAAAGACACATTCAAGGACATCACCAAAGGATTTCATCTACAAATGCCAGGTGTTGCTAAGGAATGTGGCAGGGTTGGAGGGAGTCAGTGATCAAACTAT